CCCCAAAACCCCAAAACCCCAAAACCCCAAAACCCCAAAACCCCACAGTATTCCAGATCAACTGAAATTACCACAATCTAATATTTACCGATATGTATTTTAACCTGATAACTTAGACTATTGATCTATTCATTCTTGTTCTCTCATTCACATCAAAGAAAGGAGGATTTCTAGCTTTCCCTCTATACTGTACCCTTTTTATTGACGATTCTAGAGATTATGAGATAACTTACCATCAATTTCTGAATTCAGTAGTTCTGAAATATCAGCAATGTTTGGATTATCCATGCTCTGATTCCGTGCTCTGCGGTACATATTACCTCTTTCGAGATAATAACTATTAATTTCCTTATGAGAATCAATAGACTATAAATGAAGACCAATGGTTACAGACTTCCTTTGGCTATTTTTGTACTTCTCTTCATAAATCTTTGATATACTATTTAGCCTGGTTTTTATATTTGGTCGATGAAATATTCTAAGTCCTTTGTGAATGTCCTTCTTTTCAAAACTATTATATTTAAAGCTAGATGGTCATGAGAGGATTCATTACTTTCTTTTGCCTTCAACTGCTTTAGTCACTAAATATTAAATAACTATTCGTACTTTTATGTAGTTTAGACTTGACATTGTATTTAAACTTCCAATTGCCCCTCATTCCCATGTTGAAGCTATGAGTTGGAAGAGCAAGTGTTTGCTTATCTAACAATAAACCAATTGGCTCACTATTAATTTCTTTCTCTTTCCTCTTAAAAACTTTCCATGCATTCATTTTAAGCTAAACATTATCAAGGATATTACCCTAATTTTAGTCTTCTTTATCTTCTTAGGAGGAGTAGAGTGACTTTCTGGATGAGAAGACGACAAGGCATCGGAGTTAATAGTACTTTCACTGTTTCTGTAAATAATGTTGTTTTTCTACCAAATTATTAAAGCAGTTACTCTGGATTTTACACTCTGAATCTTTTTCATATCTCTAGACTTTCTCAACTTATTTCCTCAAGTCCTTTTGGATATCTGTCTCGATAGTTTCCAAAGCAAAATCCTAAGACTATGAAAAAGGAAATACCCTAATGTTCGAGGTGTTGTATACTATGGCTATTAAGAATATGACTTACTAGAGCTCTTATACTCTTTCGAAGGTTGGTGGTGTTCTACTATAATTCAAAATAAATTATTGCATATTTGAGTATACCTGAAGAAAGTACACTTTTCCTTTGGTTTTTTGGAACTCTTCTTCAAACGCCACTAACTTTGCTATTGAATTGATACAACCGATATTACTTGGCTATTCTATCCATAATTTTATTTATCTAGCCTTGTTATCTAAATCTTACCAGTATTTTCCTTGGAGAATAACTTCCTTCCAAGAGTGAAACTATACAGGACTCTTTCTTGCCTAATTTGGTCTATTTCGTAACTTCTTAAAAGTTCTTTTGATTTCTTAAATTTATTGCCTCTTATCAGTTTAAATATTTCAGGGTTTATCTATAAATAGAACAATGCAAGTACCTTTATCTGTCCATAGTCATAATCAAGTTCTTCTTCCGAAGAATAGCTAAATATTATTATGAGTGATTACTCCAATGGCTGAAATCCAAAGATGGGGCCTTTGCCATGAACATCTGCAATCTCTCTAGTCAAATCCTTGAGAACTGGTTTTGTAATCTTCCTAATTTTCTGGATAATTGGTTCTATAATTAATAGGAGTCTAGTCTACCATCTGTCTGAGACATTGATTTCTTTTTACCTATACCATAAGTAATATTACCACTGGAGGAGATTAATAAACTTACTTGGTGGCTTAAGTCCTGCTGCAAAATTAACCTTTTTATTTATCTTTGCCTTTATTCTTGTTGAATTTAGAAACAAGGCTTCCAGCCTTTAGTTTACTATTAGTTGTCACAGTCTACATTTGCTGATTTTAAGTAATTTAGTGGTGATAAGTTATTCAAATTAACACTTATTTGATTATTCTGCAAGACTTTATAAGATAGAAGAAATAAAAATATTAGACTATTAGAGATCTGAATTTGTAAACACAATAAAGCAACTCCAAATTAGTCAAGAACCCCATATTACCTTTTTCATATTATTATTTATCACCAATAAAAACAAGGGCTTTAGGGGTTTTGGGGTTTTGGGGTTTTGGGGTTTTGGGG